CTATGCATTAGGCTTGTGCAAAGCAGCAAGTATTCACTTTGGATTCGCATTTAGTTGATTCAGAAGGACAGTGATTTGATTAGGAGATTCAAATCACTGTCCCGATTCGATTTGGCTGAAGCGGATCCGAAGATTCAGCACCGTTTCAGAGATTTGGCCATAGACTAAACAGGCAGCAGTCCTTACTGTGCTGGACACAGCTGCCTCCAGCTGGTAAATCTGTTGTGGTGGGCAGAGGGGGGAGGGAAAGGGGGTGGGGGAGAGAAGTATTGGGGTTGGGACAAGCTGTCTAGCCCGGACTCAGGGAGCGGGGTGGGAGGGGGCGGGATGTGGGCTCAGCAGCTCACAGAGCAGGAGCTATGCCCTGCTGCCGCTTGTCCAGCCAGGGTGGGAATGGGGGCACAATGCAGGCAAGGCTCACTCTGGGTAGAAGGGGGCAAGCAGCAACAGGGCATAGCCCCTGCTCCCATCGCTGCTGCACCCACATCCTGCCCCCCAGCCCACCCTGGCTGAGCAAGCGGTGGGCTATGCCCTGCTGCTGCTTGCCCCCTTCTGCCCAGAATGAGCCGCGTCTGCATCGCCACCTGTCCCAGCTGGGCAAGCAGCAGCAGAGCATCGCTCCAAGTGCTGCTGCACCCGCATCCTGCGTCTCCCCACCCCACTCCCCCAGTCCCATGTCCCCCTGCCCTGGCTGGGCAGCTTGTCCCAGTCCCAGAACCAATCCCTCCCCCCAATTCCCCTTCCTTTCCCGCTCTGCCCACCACAACAGTCTTTTCTAAATCAATTTGGAGGCTTCCAATTCGATTCGGACCTTTTAGTTGGTTTCCCGATTCGATGCAGATTTGGAGATTCTGTTGCTGAATCGGGCCAAATCTCCTGCAAATTGAATTGGTTACCAAAGCTTCATGCAGCCCTACTATGCATGTTAAAATGAGTTGGCCATTGCTTTTGAGCCCCAAAACATCTTACTTCATTCATAACATGCTAGCTGCATTCCATTGCCATGGCAGCACATACATGGAAAAACAGATGCTCAGAAAGCCAGGTCCTAAACTGTGGAGGACTTCCATAGATCAAATGTAACACATTGAATTGCACACAGGAAAGAAGTGGAAAACTCTATGCAAGCTTTGGAGACAAGCTACATGATCCTGGTTGGCACCCATTTAGCAGAAATCATGCCCTGCACTAGCTATAAGTCTAGCCCTATTTTCTGTGATCAGGTATGTAGGCCACAAAAGCAAGGGTGCTGGCAGTGAGGTCCACAGCAGATGGAAATAACTGAAGTTGCATAGCCCCCATCTCAATGCACCTACTCACAAACTTATATGCCCAACTCTTTGTAACTTGTATATTACTTGTGTAAGTCAGGCTTAATATAACATCATAAAAACTGTTGTTTGTGGCTAGATTCCCCATCTGAAACATTCACAAACTTTGTGAGGCCTGAATAAGGGTACTGTGATAACTGAAAGCTTGCCTATGTCTATACCAACCATATGATTGTTCAATAAAAGCTATCACCCAGAAAAATTCTTGCCTCTTGCATATCTCCTGGATCATCATGGCAACATCATCACTTCAGCACTACTACAAACTTCTTACTTTCCAAACAAATTCTAATCAAGACATTAGGGTAGCAGCTTGCTGACAATAGCAAGAATTACTGTATGGCACTGAAAATTGCTGAAGTGGACACTGCAGCTGACAGTAGTGGGCTAATAAACATTATGCATTATGTGATATGAGGTCCATTTCTTCCTCATTAACAATGCCTATGACTCCTGCTGCTCTGCAAACTGCTAGCTAAGAGCACTAAAGTAATTAATGAAGATTCATTTCTAAAAGGCTTTGTGACACTTGAAGATGTGTCCTTTACCTCTCTCAATTAGGCATTTACGTTTGTAAGACACTTACTAAATGCCAGCTGTACACTGATAGGTACTGGCTCCATTCTTCTCAGAATTTTTTTTTTTTTTTTGGAAACATATCAATTAATTCTGGATTTTCTTCTTTCTTTCTGAATAACAACACCAGTATAGATTGCACCTTAGATTTGCTTTCTTTTTCTGATAGGCTTCTGTAAAATATTGCAGCCTTTTTTTTTTAATCTGTCCAAGTAGAGTTCAATATGAACAGTGATACTGCATAGATTATTCTCTGTAACTTGCGCATCTTCCAAATTCACACTTGGGATGAGGAGGACTGGTATTTAATGCTGCAAGCCTTTCTTTTTTGTTTCTGTTGCTATAGTAGATCAGTACCCAGTTTCAGTTGATCTTGTACATTTTGTTTGCTTGCTTAATTCTTACTATAGTAGTAGAGGTAGGTAATGAATGGTTTGCTAGTATTCCTTTGGAGAATCTGAAGCAATAGCATTGAATTATGAAAATTATTAGAATTAACCATCATAAAGTGTCTAAGATAGCAGACTCTAGCCATACATTATAATCACATCACAGATAGACACCATGGAAAAGCTAATTTGTACTTTGAAGAAACCTTCTGATTTTGCAGACATAATGGCCTTGGACTACTGCCATCGCCTGTATTATATTAGATGATGCCCTTTTTGAGAACAGGGCCCCACTATGCTGGGCACTATACATTAAAAAACAATCCTCATCCAAACATGTTATGGGCTAAGGCAAGCCAAAGGCAGGTCAGGAAAAGAAACAGAGAGCTAAAAGAGCTTGCCAAGGTCACAGGGTTAATCAGTCATAGCCAGGCCTAAAACCCAAGTCTTATGACTCTTAGTCTAGTGCACTGGCACCCTGTTCACACTGGATGTTAAACAGTTCTTAGAATCTATTTGTATGGAAACTGCAGCAAACCTATACTATCCAGAAAGCCTTTGGAAAAACAAGCCACAGGATTAAGGTGACCATGGTCCTGTTTTATACTGGACCATCCTGTGTTTAAACCCTTTGTCCCTTGTTCATTACTGAATGAGGAACAGATTGAAAAAAGTTCTGTTTTTCAGTTCATTGGTGGAAATACATGTCAACCATTTGTCCTCGCAATTCTATTGGCTGTGCCTAGAGATAGGGTGGTACACAGCCAGGAGAAGCAGGGTTCCACGCCAGCCCTGGAGGGAGGGAGGGAGGGTGGCCTTTTTGTGGTGGTCCTGCCACTTGCTGCTGATTGGCCAAGGGGCCCAATGGCCCTAACCCTCACCAAGCAGATGACCTGTATTCTGAGGGTCAGTGGCCACTCAGATGGGATCCTGCCCCTCTCACTCCTTTTGCAGTTGTAGGCAAGGTATTATTTTATAGTTGAACAGAATAGTTTGTTATGAAAACCTGAAGCTCTCATCAGATGAGCCCAAGCTCTAAAACCTAGATAGACCAGATTTTCAATTTGTTACAAGAAATCTATGCCATTCATAGATGACAGCCTTGAGGCTACAGCATTAGACTAAGGATTCAGGAGCTTTTTATTCTGTTCCTAGCTCTGAGGTCACCTTATAAAAACAACTTAAGCTCTTTCTGTGCCTTAGTTCCCATATGTAACATACGGCTAATAATACTTAATTTCCTTGCCTCCCCGACTAATCCTAGCCTGGTTAGATTGCAAGTACTTGGGGACAGCACATAGGCACCAATAGGGTTGCTATCTGTAACATAAGTGAAAAATATATATGTGACCCCTGTTATATCCCACTATGTATCTTTAACATGCTCTCCTCCCTGTATTTTGCTGTGTGGGAGCTATTTTTCATGTCATAGATGACTTATATAAATGCTTACACTTTTCTATTATGACCATATTATTAGGCACCTCAGGGTGGAGACATGCAACAGGTTGACTCTGTAACGTACATGCAATGTAAGGTACACCAGTGTTCAGAGCACACAGATAACCATTAAGTGGTGACGGATTTGGTAACAGTTTCTGCAGTAAGCATGTGCTACATGAGAAAAACTGACTAGAGCTGTGAACACAATTGTATGAGCCTATGTAACCCACTCATTTACTCTAGATTTTCTGTGGGGTAACTAGTACCCCATCGGGATTTTCTATGGGGTAACTAGTAACTAGTACCCCATAGTACTTGGGCAGTTGCCTAGTTTGCACACCCAGCTACAGTAATTGTATGTGCAACTCTAGGTGCACAATGGCTCATGTGCTATTGCATGTAGGGCTCAAACCTTTTTTTGTTAATTTGTGTATGATGAGAATGGCAAGCAGAGAAGCATAGACATTTGCCTTCTCTTAAGTTCAGTGATTTTGCTTTTCTATAACCTTTCTGCAGTGCAGTAATAAACTTGTTTGGTAGTTGATACCTGACTCGAATTCAGATTAGTGCCTGAAGGTAGAAAACAGTGCCTTATACTACAGCCTCTGGAAAATCCCCAGAGAACACCTACTGTTGATTATACTAACCAACCATTTCTCTTCTCTATAAATGCAGCAGAGAAAGCATCCAACTCCCACTGAAACACCTGACTCAAGAAAGCAGTTAGACTACTAACATTTTAGCTCATTGTGTTCTTTCATTTATTATTAGCTTCTGCTTGTAGATCCCTTAGTCAGACTTTTTTCAAATGTGTGTTTAAGTTTCACCCACCTTTTTTTTCTTTCTTTTTTTTTTTTGGCCTTGTTGGAAATATCTGTAACATTGAACTTCCTGAATGAGACTGTGTACTGTGTGCACTTTTAGTGTGTTTGTGAGCAGATTGTGCCAAGGTAGGGTGCCACATAATCACTATGAGGGTGCACATACCTTGTCCCTGATGAGTATTTTCTCCTAGCCCACTGCAGAATCCCTTCAGCTAAAACCCGCTGTCATGGAAGACTTCTCCTCCAGGCTCAAAGTCACTGAAGCAATCTGTCAACTCGAATGGTATTTTCTCTGTTCTTCTGAGCACCCATGCTGAGGAAGATAGAGAGAATTGTGCTTCTCTTCAGGACTGGTTGTATAAAAATCCAGCAAGGGTAGGTGAAGAGAAAATGATAACAAAACATTGGCCATAAAACACTACTCTTTTCTTTTCCAGAAAGTTCTGGCCACTCTGGAGGCAAGGACAAGATAGTGGACAGCTCCCCTTTTTCTAGTGAGTAAATATGTTCCTTCATGCTGCATCTTTAGAATTTGCAGCAGAGCTGCGTGGTACTGCGCGAGTGATCGAGGTTCTGTCAAAAATGAAATTGGCAGCCTTATCTCAATCCTTACGGGACCATGGACCCTAATTACAAAACTAATTTAACTGTCTTTGTTATAAGGCTTTTCTCAAAGAGAAACAGGGCTTAATGAACATCAAGCTGACACTGCTCTTACCTTGGAGCTGTACAATTATTCCCAAGGACTGAGGGTGAAGTAATGCAAGTGAAAAGCCTGAACTTGGCTACCCCATGGAGTGAAGACAAGGGGGAACTGTATGACTCTGGCCCCCTGTACATGTTACACTTAAGGCATGATTAACCAGTTTATCTTGCCTTCAGTTGTGACCCAGCTATATGTTCAACCAGTTACTGGTGTGATAAAACAAGCAGTAAGCTACACAGTTATTCCACAAAAAATGTGTAGTAACTTTGTAGGTTGTTCTAATCATGCAATTAATTGAACATGTGTCCCACTGCTCCCCTCTGGCTGGGAGCTCATCAACAGAGAGGCTCCTAGTCACAGGGGTGCACCACATGCTACCAGCGCCACAGCTGATAAGGCTGGCAGTGGTGGCAGAATTCCCTGCACTGGCCCTGCTGGGAGCCTTGCCAGCCACAGGGCTTGCAGCCCAGAGAACACTGCTGCACCACTGAGCCTCATTGGCTGTGGGGCTCACAGAGCGGGCAGTCTCTTTAGCTGTAGGGCTCACAGCACCAGCAGTGGGAAGAACAATGCCACCACTGTGAGCCTCATCACCTGCAGGGCTCACAGCAGCAGCAGCAGCAGCAGCAGCCTTCTGCCCACTGGAAGCCCTACGGCCGAAGAGGCTCACAGTGGTAGTGGCATTCGCAGTGCTGCCCCTGTTGCAAGTCCTGCAGCTGATGCCAGCTGTAGGGCTCACAGCAGGGACAGCACAGGGAATGTTGCCCTGCTGCAAGTCCCACTGGCTGTGGGGCTCAGCTGAGGGAACTGGTGCAGGAGAAGCCCAGGATCACAATCCCAGGCTCCCCCGGCACTGGCAATAAGGTGCAATGGGATCTATTGCGTGATCCCACAATTGCACTCTTGCCATACACGCGTGCATCACATATTAGGTGCCATTGTGCCTTTACCTGCACATGTAGAGGGACCTTCAATCATTCTGTTTTCACAAACCTTTAAGTTAACCCTAAAAGAATCATTCCAGGCAAAGGGGTCAGGGTGTCTCCAAACAGTTGGCAACTGAATGCTACTTATAGGCCCTTACTTACTATATAGTATAACACATGCATCTAGTGGGGCAGTATTACTGCAGCTCTGATTTCTAAGACCAGAGTATTTGTGTAGCTACACACAACCTAAGTGTCTCTCTAAGACAGAAACTCCCAGTCTTCCAGGGTTGCTACCCCACTCCCAGTGCAAACCTGACTATTTACCATTGAATTTCTAAGGTGCCTCAGATCCCACTTGGCATTGCAACCTCTAGTTTAGGAACCACTGCTCTAAATTTGAATAACAATACTTCAGTACCAATACATACATTTTTTAAGTGCCTCAACAAACTTTTTGGAAAGAGCTGCATCCTTGGGGGAGCCATGAAGATGTCACTTGCCCATATCATCCTCCTTCCTAGGCTATTCTTAGCAGCTCCTGTCTTTCAATCCAGGTCAGCCCTTCCATTGGATCCAGGTAATATAACAGACACTAATATTAGTGCTTCTAGCTGAAAGCAGAAAGACTGCTGGTGAGTGACGCAAATGATCTCCCACTGTTCTGCCCTAGAGTCTGAATCTATTACTCCTTCAGCACAGTAAGCAAGGAACAAGCCCACTCTCCCAGTATCTTGGCAATACCGCCATTTAATCAGTGTGAAAAGGTGGCTGTTGAATGCTGCAGTGCTCTGCCTCTTCAGCTCTGCCAGCTCCTGCCAGCTCAAGGAGTGCTAGAGCCTGGTTTGGGATCAAACCTAAGTCTCCCATATTGCAGGAAGACTTGGGAGCATTCTTCTCTAGGTCACTGGGTTACAGCCTGTTAAATATGAGCCTGACAGAATGTAGCTATGAACAATTATAACCTGAGAAAAACAGGGGCTGTCATGTACATTTTCCAAAAAAGCATCACTATTACATAACTTCTTTTTACATGTCCTTTCTTCTTGGCTGGGAAACACCTGTCAGGAAATGGCAGATGGTGGGAAATAATAAAAGGAGAGAAATGCCCTCATTTTTAAAGAAAGCTTGTGTTCTACATCCCTGGTTGTACGAACAGAGAAAAAATGTTACCAGATAGCAATTTCTACATGTCTTTCGGTGTTTGTCATGATAAAGGAGAAATAATCACTTTAGCCACTACGTTCCAGATTCATCTTGTTTTATTGTACGTGACTTAAAAAAACCCAAACAAGCTCCTGGAACATTGGTGATGACAATTTATATGGGGCTATTACCATTTGGGGTGACCTAATCGCGATTACAGGTTACAAGCTGAATATTCCAATGCAGGGAAAAATTATAACAATGCCCTAAGGAAGAGTGTGCAGAAATACACTCTCCGCATAGTTGCAACTGACATTGAAGACAGAGGCTCCAGAATGACTAGGGATGGGGGAGGGAAGGCCTTGCGTCCTACAGCCTTGTTTTCAAAAAGCTGCAAGCCTGCCACCTAGTGGATATATGAGGAACAACATATACAGAAGAGAAGTGAACAGCTCTTGCTGCTGCTGTGGGAGGGGCTGGGGTACATCATTAATTTACTTTATATTAATATATTTTAAAGTTCTACAAGTGGAATGTAGTCAGTAAAATAATTTTATCCATCTTTTGCAGATGTTATTTTGCCAGTCGTGATTGCCTTAATAGTAATAACGTTGTCTGTATTCATTCTGGTGGCCTTGTGCAAAATGTGCCGGAAGACAACCCCAGGTATTTGTTCAACAGTTTTCTTTATGCAAACTGTCTTCAATACATTATAACATATTGGAGAAATATTGCTGGTTTTTTTTTATTTGACCTGCCATACACATTTAATTGCAATCTGATAGCTAATCCTTCTAATTTTTAGTAACAAAAAAACCCAAAACAAAACAAAACAAAACAAAACAAAACAAAACACTTCTTTATCAAGACTAGTGTATGATATGGGTAAGGAAGGAAACAGTTATATTGCTTATGCTTGTAGAGCACAACAACGTACGGAGTTTAATGCTCCCCCTTATGCTGTGGTTACCTGATGAACAGCTGTGCTGACTCTATCAATGAATCTTGTGTACTGAGAGGAACTGCTTGGCTCAGCAGGATGCAAAATAAGTTGAATTTGCTGCTAAACAAAATCAGCTCTGTTCAAAATACAGGGGAGAAAATCAATGTTTTCTTTTAGGAGAAATAGAACTAATAATTATATCTTTCTCTGTACACATAAAATATATAAATGGATAAAAAAATCTCTGGACAAAGAATATTTATTTAAATAAGCAGTGGTTTTGATAAATCATTCTATATAAGATGTTGAAGAGGAACATGTTGAATGGGGAAGCATGTAAGATGTTGAATGGGGAAGCAACCCTACTGCATTAATTTTGCCAAATACAGCAAAGGGCCAACTTAGTGAGTTAGAGGCAAAAGCAAGGTACCATTGAGATGGGTACTTGAATTTGAAGCCAAATACAGTCTCTATCTTCTTGTAAATGGGCATGAGCTGAGAGTTCTGTACAGGGATTTAGTTATGTAATTCCTGGGGCTTGGAGCGTACAAAAAGGTCTTCAAGGTTCAGGCCAAGGTAAATAGCCTAGGTAAACTGAAATTGTATTAAATTTAGCAAATGGCAATGCAAACTGAAAAAAATATAGAGAGGACATTGTGATACTTGCCTGGGAAATTACTAAATGCTCCAAGCTTAAGAGTCAAAATTTAGATAGAGAAAATTTCCTTGCTTTTTCCCTCTGTGAATGTGAACTCAGTCAAATCAAATTCATTAAAAAAAATCAGTGAATATCTATGAGTTCTCCTGAAGTATTTGCTTAGCTTCAGCTGGCCAAATATAGTTTTGGCCAGCTGATAGTTTTTAACACAGGCAAAAGTTTCCAAATTAAAGTACATCTGACAAGTATGCAAGAGCAGCTCAGCATCCAGCTCATGTCTTATTCACTAGGCTTTCTTTCCACTGCCTGTCTCAGCATCAGGGCTGGATCTGGTAGGCATTCTCAGGGCTCATGAACACTGCTCGCATCCTAGCTGAACTGTTCTTGAGCACATCCCACACTCTACATATGCTCTCGTACACATGCTCCAAGCATAGAAATAAATATTCCAGTGAAAATACTTTGGGGTCATCAACAGTGTGCATTCCCAAGCATGCTGAAGGCCAAGGTCTAAAAGTGGCTGCAGAGGGATGCTCCAGAGCTTTTTCACCATCTTATTTCCAGGTCTGGAGCATGAATGGAGGAGTGGGTGGGTAAAGTGTATTCAGGAGAGACCAAGAGAGACTTGCACGTAAAGGCTACTTGGCAGAACAGACTCCACACCAAATACATCTATACAAGTGGAGATGTTACTAGCTCTTTATCCAGTAATTTAATTGGCTAGAACATTTCTCAAAAATGAGGAGACCTAGATTCAATTCCCTCCCTTGCCTGAGAAGATTAAACCTACATTCTCCCAGAATTCACCCCTAAATCTGGTGCCTATACATGAGGCATGAAGCTGCTTCGATGCATTGTAGTTACAGTGGGTCATAGCAAACATAATTAATCGAGACTGCTGGAGCATGGTAATTACCACACTCCAGCCAGCTTCTGCGTCTCATGTATCAGCACCCCCACACTTTAAAATGGCAGCGGGGGCGCTTTAACTAAAACTCATTCATCGAGTGACTTAAGTGATAGGGAATTTGGGACAGGCTGTTTGCAGTCACTCCTATTGATGCTTTTCCTCTTTGCTTGGCAGAATTAAATATTTGTTGAAAGAGTGCATTTGTGTGAATCTAGAGCTCACTACTTATTGCACTCACTTGGGAGAAGGAGAGATCTATAACTTTTTCAATGCCCTGTTTCACTGCCAACCTAAAGTAAAATACTTAAATAGCTATTAGAGAAGGACCTGGACCCCACATCTCCCTTCCTCTCACAGGCTATTGATTTCATGCTCTTTGCCTAGCCCCAAAGTAGTTAATTATTCCAGGCAAAGAGGACCAACTTTAACATGAAGGACAGAGAATAGCCAGACACCAGAAAACTGTGGTGAGATCGTTCTGTCAGTGAAAGGAGTTATATGAGTGCAAATTAACATTCCTGTTAATAAAAATATTATTAGTGTATTTGCTGCAGTACTATGAAATTGCCAATTAGGCTTATGCTAGTATTGGCTGAGCTTGAACTTTTTATTTAGTCAAACTCTATACAGTCACAAAAACATAAACTTGGTCTTTTTTTTTCTTCTCCAGAGAGGCAAGAGAATGGAACCGAACAGTAAGTTAGACCATGTCATTGCATTCCTGTCAGCCTAGTCACAGGACACAGGAATGCAGCAATTTTTGCATGTGCTTCTCTCTGCTTTTCTCTACTTAAATATAAAAAGCCCATTAACATATTTAAAAATACCCAAAAGGAAAATATGTGATTGAGAACAAGGCAGCTCACATTTCTCATACATACGGAGACCGGCAGTGCTAACCCTCACTTGTTGCTGCAGAATGGCCTGAAGTACACCAGTTCCCAGTTTTCTCTGTGTTGGCTCCCTTTCCACTAGACTGGAGATTAAACTCCTACTCCATTTGTTATCCCCTATGAGCTAAGTCTCAAGGGGTAGTTGTACAGTTCCACTTTTTTCTGTCTGTTGTCTTTTCTCCCCTGTATCCAAAAGTAATTGTTTGCTTATCTTCTTCCAACTAAAACAGAGCCCCATCAGATAAAGAGGGTGTCAAACTTCTTTCTGTGAAGACAGCTTCTGAGACTGGTAAGTGATTCCCTGCTTTCACTTTCTTTATCAATGATAGAGGCCACAGAGGAAGATATTTTACATCAAATTTAATAAAGTGCTAGACCAATTCAGATTCATTGCATTGAATGAAGCAGCCTTAGAAGCAGTCAGTGACCCCAAGTAAATGTAAACTCTGTCTTTAATGAAAACTAGAAGCAGAAATTGCATTTGTCTAAGAAAATAAAACCTGCCTTTGTAGCACAAATCTATAAAAAACTAAAAAAAAATCACCACTGTTCATTTCCTTGTGTGCTAGGAGCACATTCAGAACACTTCTTATTTGCTTATTTGAATAGCCACTTTCCAATCTCAATAGATACATCAGTATGGATGCAATATATCCCTCCTGCTAGAACAGTTGTGGGCAAAATATGGCCTGCAGGCTGGATCCGGCTCATGAAGCAATTTTGCTCAGCCCACAGCAGGTCCCCCAGTCATGTCCAGCCCAGGACAGCCTGGGCGGTGATGCATGCCCAGGTGCACAGTGGGGCTGGGGCAGTATGGCTGCCAGACTCCATTGTCCTGGCAGGCCAGCAGTGGGGGCAACTCCTCCTGGCTGCCACTGCTGCCTTACCCAGCCCTGCTGCCTGGGCACCCTGGCCTGTTTGCCCTGCACCCATTGCTGATGTTGGGACCCACTCAGGCAGGCTGCTTGGTTGGGCAGCTAGCATGGGGCCGCAGGCTGGTGGGGAGCAGGACGGGTGGGCGGGAGCAGGGAAACCCTGGGATCTTGGGGCAGTGACAGCGCAAGACTGGGGCAGAGCCATGATGCGCTCAGTGAATGTCCCTGCCTGCAGAAATGGGACTCTGCCCTGGTCTGGGCCCTTGCTGTCACTGCCCTAAGGAGACTGGGACAGTGTTACTGTCAGTGAGATCAGGACAGTGTCACTGTCCCACTGTTTCCTTGGAGATTGGCTGGGAGCTGCATGGACAGGACGCTCAGCTAGGTGGATGTGAACCACAATCTACTCCCTGCTTGGCCCTGCCCAGAGAGCCTGCGCCCATCACAGGGGTGTGTGGGCAGCAGGTTGCAGCTCTGCTCTGGGCCCTGGCCCTGGCCCTGCACTCTCACCACCCTGTGATCCCACGCTGTGATCCTGGCCTCACCTGCTCCTTCTGAACACCGTCCCCAGCCTGCCCACAGCCCCGTGCTATATAGGGAGTTTGGTGAGCTGTTGGGGAGGGTGGAGCTGGGTTGCTGACCCGTCCCACAACACCTCAACAAAATTCCCTGTGACCTGCGGGCCCAAATAATTGCCCACCCCTTTAACTAGTAAGATGTCATATGTGGAACAAAGTTCCTCAATTCCAAGTAACCAACGGTGGTGGTTAAAGAAAAGGTGTCTTATTCAAGTATTTGTATTTGGCAACCTGAAAAAAATAATGTCTAATTCTATTTAGGGAAGTAACATTTTTTGAGGAGCTTGGATTTCCTAGGAACCCCAACACTTCTGTTGTGTTAGTGACAATTTAAAGTCACAACTTTTAGATGTAGTACAAAAAACCTTTAGCAAATCTAAGACAAATTGAAATGTTGTCACTTTTTTACTTTAAACTTAGAATTTTCCTGGAGCAGTATAAACTATTACATGTGTTTCTATTTTTTGCTATTTACAAGAAAAAGCAATTCAATTAAGAAGGAAACTATAATATAACCTGTGTTGTTTTCAAAAACAGCTTTGAAATGGGTTCTTTTTACTTCTGTTGATTAGATGTTAGTATTATTGTGGTGTGCACAGTTTGCCCTGCACCCATTGCTGATGTTGGGACCCACTCAGGCAGGCTGCTTGGTTGGGCAGCTAGCATGGGGCCGCAGGCTGGTGGGGAGCAGGACGGGTGGGCGGGAGCAGGGAAACCCTGGGATCTTGGGGCAGTGACAGCGCAAGACTGGGGCAGAGCCATGATGCGCTCAGTGAATGTCCCTGCCTGCAGAAATGGGACTCTGCCCTGGTCTGGGCCCTTGCTGTCACTGCCCTAAGGAGACTGGGACAGTGTTACTGTCAGTGAGATCAGGACAGTGTCACTGTCCCACTGTTTCCTTGGAGATTGGCTGGGAGCTGCATGGACAGGACGCTCAGCTAGGTGGATGTGAACCACAATCTACTCCCTGCTTGGCCCTGCCCAGAGAGCCTGCGCCCATCACAGGGGTGTGTGGGCAGCAGGTTGCAGCTCTGCTCTGGGCCCTGGCCCTGGCCCTGCACTCTCACCACCCTGTGATCCCACGCTGTGATCCTGGCCTCACCTGCTCCTTCTGAACACCGTCCCCAGCCTGCCCACAGCCCCGTGCTATATAGGGAGTTTGGTGAGCTGTTGGGGAGGGTGGAGCTGGGTTGCTGACCCGTCCCACAACACCTCAACAAAATTCCCTGTGACCTGCGGGCCCAAATAATTGCCCACCCCTTTAACTAGTAAGATGTCATATGTGGAACAAAGTTCCTCAATTCCAAGTAACCAACGGTGGTGGTTAAAGAAAAGGTGTCTTATTCAAGTATTTGTATTTGGCAACCTGAAAAAAATAATGTCTAATTCTATTTAGGGAAGTAACATTTTTTGAGGAGCTTGGATTTCCTAGGAACCCCAACACTTCTGTTGTGTTAGTGACAATTTAAAGTCACAACTTTTAGATGTAGTACAAAAAACCTTTAGCAAATCTAAGACAAATTGAAATGTTGTCACTTTTTTACTTTAAACTTAGAATTTTCCTGGAGCAGTATAAACTATTACATGTGTTTCTATTTTTTGCTATTTACAAGAAAAAGCAATTCAATTAAGAAGGAAACTATAATATAACCTGTGTTGTTTTCAAAAACAGCTTTGAAATGGGTTCTTTTTACTTCTGTTGATTAGATGTTAGTATTATTGTGGTGTGCACAAAAACTATAAAAAGGGTTAGGTCTCAATAGGGGAAAAGACTTACTAGCATACTTCATGCCCCTGAGTGGTCTTATGTGTTGGCTCAACTGTTTAAAGATTAGCCTGTTTAAGTGGCTATCTTCAGATGTATGTTTAGCCAATGATAATGCTTTTTTGGCTAGGTACAGATGTTACACTTGTCACATGATAAGCACACAGAAAGCAGTTTACAACTGTAACTGAACAGATGGTCACAGCATGTAGAGAATGTTAAAAATGGTGGATTAGCACTGGATGGATGTGGTATCAGATGAAAGTGCTTTAGGTTAGAGTGCTTATTGAGCAGTCTGTGCCAGATCCCATTGCAAGTCACAGTAGGTTGCATTCCGCCAGCATCCCATGGGGCTTTGTGGCACCCCACTCACCCCTCCTCCCGACAGGGCGGTGCTCTAACCTCAGCCAGAACTTGTCTGCTCTTCTTGTCTGCTGTCCCTGCCCCTGAGCTGTCACTGACAAGAGTCAGTGAAGCCTAAGTCCCCAGCCTCAAGGCCTCCCTCCAGTCAGTTGTGAGGTGGAGCCAGGCTGGGGAGGGGGAGGGGTGTGTGTCCCTGCACCAGCCCTGGCATCAGGGTACCCATGTCCCCAGGCCCTGCCCCCGTATCCCATCATGAGTCACCCCATGGACATGACTAGGAGCCCAGGAAACCCCCTCCATGCATGGGCACAGCCCCACAGAAGCCTGGCCTTTGCACTGGCACCCCCTCCCAGGCAGCTCCAGGGCCAGGCACCCTGCCAAGTGGAGTCTGGCATGCCTCCCCCGCCGCCCTGCTGAGTAGGACCTGGCTGGGGAGGACCTGGTGCGGGTGGCTCACTTCTGGTGCATTGAGGTGTCAGGGGCCAGAAGTTCAGGACTGGGACTGCACAGAGGCAACCCAGCTCATGACCACCTGGCCTTTTGGAAGGCTTTTTAGGTCTGCAGCTTAAAGGGGTGAAGGGCTTTGTCAGAATCATCTTCTAGCCATCCATTGTTCCAGGCTTCCTGCCACCCTTCCAGCCTTCCTTCCACCCCTTTGCACCCAGAACCTCACCCACCCATGGATCCCAAATCCCCATGGGCAGTACCATGGATAACCCCACCCCATCCTGTGCCACCAGTGAAACTGGGGCACATGACTGGGAGTACAGGGAGATGAGAGATTTTATCACCATCTGGGGCAAGGAAGAAATTCAGCACTAGATACAGAAGGGCATTGCAACAGAGATGTCTTCAATTGCATCACCCAGTAGATGTAGGCACAGGGCTACAACAGGGACTGGGCAGAGTGCTGCACCAAGACCAAGGTGATGAGTCAGTATCACCATATGCTTGATGCCAACAAGAGGTCCAGGGGTGAACAATGCCCTTTTACAAGGAGCTTTCCTCTTTGCTTGCCAAGGACAGAGCTGTCAACACCCTGCCAACCTATAGCATCACCAGGGGCCTGGAGGAGTTGCCAGCAAGACCCCTCCAGTGGAGGAGGAGGCACAGGGAAGCCCCAGCACTGGGGCAAGTGGGTGATCAGGAGCAGGTT